AAAAAAAAAAATTGTGTAGGCCAAATATGATTGGCTTGTGGTAACCCGCTGGTATACCAAAAAACTAAATTAGACCCAAGATATAGATTTTGTTGTTTTAATGGATTTCCTAATTAATTTTGAATTTAATTATTTTTCTATTTAATTTTGAATTATTTTACTAAGTTGGTTTTTGTTTTTATATAAACAGTTGATATGTTTTTTTATTAGATTTATACATAGTTTTCAGACTCAACCCGGTCCAAGGCCCGAGTTCTGAGTTTTGACCGGGTAACCCGGGTCATCTTTTTAAATCAAAACGAAGTTGTTTTAGTAAAAAAAAAATCAACGGGTTGCAACCGGGTCGTTTTAGTAAAAAAAAAATTAATGGGTTGCAACCGGGTTTTGACCTGGTCTTTTCATGTCAACTGGATTATCGGGTCACACCGAGTTTTTTATTTTTATTTTTTTTTAATCTGGTTCTCGTCCTTAGTCGGCCAAGTCCCGGGTAAACCAAGCTTCAAAACTATGGATTTATGGATAAAAGACTTTTCAGAATATATGGAGATCTCTACAATTTTTCTCTCCATAGATTAGATTAGGTATGTAATTATATGATGTGAGAATCCTGGTTTCTTTCTCAACAATTTAGAGTCATAATTTTTAGAGCTTGAAAAAACCCAACGGTATATGTTGCATCATATTTGGCTGCTGCCTTCTTCTAGGTTTGTTTGATTAAGTTTGATATTATGAAATTATATAGATTATTCATAATTTAGATTGGACAAAAACTATCTTAATATTTATAAAAATATTGAGAAAATCTTCTTATAATAATAATGCAAATTTTAAAACATCAAGTATCTTTTGCTTTTGAGTTTATATAATGTCTTTAAATTTTTTGGATCATCATTTATAATTTTATAAAAACTCAAGGTAGTTATTAACTTATTATGACCTATGTACATATAAAGATATTCTTGCGGATTCATTGTATAATTACGAACTCAATCATTCCCTTTTCCTTCCCTAGCTACTAGGGAAGCAATGATGGAAATCCGTCACATGTAAAGCATGTCGATGCTTCCTTTGAAATGCTAAAGGATATTATATCTCCTTGTACAAAATATAAGTATTTGAGCATATTTATTTTTGTATTTTAAAAAAAATTATTTTTTATTTTTTTGTTTTAAATTAGTTTTTTTAGTGTTTTTATATTATTTTAATGTGAAGATATCAAAACTAACTTTTTAAAAATAAAAAAAAAATATTATTTTAATATATTTCTAATTAAATAATATTTTAATAAGTAATTGTACATCCTATTTATACTATTTATACTATTCTTGGGCATAAGTTAAGATGAATGTTAGGGATATGTTAAAGCTTTTGAATTAATAATTAATTATGAGGATTTTAATAGATAAGCATGATCCTTTTTACTTCATTTTTTTCAATATTAAATATTAAGATGATTGTATTTTTTAACCAATTAATATCAAATAAATATATGTGTATTTTATGTTAATATTAAGGTATGCATATATCATATTGTATTAAAAAAATATAAATATTATATAGATATATTTTAGGTCACTACCAGAAAATCAATAAATATAAATGAAAATACCGAATAAATATTTTTATTTATAAATTACCGAGAGAATCGTGTCATTTTTACCAATAAATTTACCGACAGAATAAATTCTATCGGTAAAATCCATCGATAACTACATTGGTACACTGTGAACATTGTTCATAATGTCAATTATAAAGGGAATCACCAATGAAAAATTATATCGGTATTTTTCAAAGAGCTATAGAATTGTTAACGTTTCAATTGCATTGTTAATTACTGTTCTTTACAGATAAAATCAGTGACAGATTAAAAAGTTGTCGGTATTATTTAGTAGTTTTTTAAAAAAATTGATTAAATTAAAATTTTAAAGTAAATATTATAGACGGAATCACCAACGAATTGAAAAGTTGTGGGTGATATTTGACAGTTTCTGATAATTTTTTATTAAATTGAAATTTTACCGGGTTTGATAATTTTTTATTAAATTGAAATTTTAAATCAAATATTACAGATAAAATAATTAAAAATATTAATATTTAATTATCCATCGGTAAAATGCCCCAATAGAAAACCTAGAATCCATAATTTCACAACAGATGAGCTCCTTACTTCTTTTTCTTTCCTATATATAAAAAATATTAATATCCATTTCTTTCTCTCGTCTTCTTTCCTCAACTCCTTCTCTTCTCCTCCATACTCAGGTATATATTTTTTTTCTTTTTTTTTCTTAGCTTTTCTAATTAATATACTTTATGAATTTATTTTTTTCTTTTCTTAGGTTCACTTGCAACTAAATTAAAGTAAGATTTTTCTTTTTTTTATTTTTTCATGTTTTTCCCACTATATTTGTTGTTTTATTTTATTTTTAATTGTTTTTTCTTAATAATTATATGAATATTGTTGTATGATTTTTTTTCTTTTTTTTCCAAGCGTTTTGAGTATTATAGAGTGTTGATTTATATTAATTTAATTTTTTTATAATTTATAGAATGAATTTTTTTAAAATATTTTTAAATAATTACCAACAGAATTACATACGGTATTTTGTCGAGGGACATGCTGACAGAATGAAGCAAATAATTTTTTTTGCGCGCCTTTTTCATTAGTTAATCCATTGGTAACAATATTTTTTTATTACCAACAAACTTACTGATGGAAAAAATTACCGATGAAAAATTCAATGATGGAGCATTTTCGTTAGTGATTTTATCAGTAAATTAATTAAAGATGGAATGATAGTAAAAAAACAGGCGGAAAATCCCATAGGTAAATTTAAAGATTGTGATAATGGGTTAGGTAGGTTTCAGATTAGGTTCGAGCGAATTTTAGGTCTGGTTCGATAATATCCATGTTATATTCATTATCCATCAAGTCTAGAAAATACTTAACCATTCAAGTTAAGTCATGCGAAGTCAGTATCCATCGGTTTCAGATTAAATTATTATCCCTATTTAATTGTAGTTTCTCATATGTTTTGCTTTTCATTTTGGTATTCTTATTTTTTTCTTGATGTTGTTATTAAAGTTTTTTTAGTTTTCAATTTTATTCTTCAATCAGATTTTTTGTTGTTTTATTTTTTCTAGTTTGACCA